TCTTTCATAGCGGCGACTTCAAATGGACGAACAATGTTAATTGATATTCAAGATGATATAGCACCTTTATTTACTGATTCTATTCACAATGACGTATCACCAAATAATGTCAAATATGAAATTATTATAGTTTTACATAATCTTTTATGTATCAATACTGATATTCGAGTGAGTTTTGAAATATTTATAACTATGACTATTGGTTTCTCTACTTTAGCTTAGTTTTATGAATTCCATTTCTATTGGATCAGCTTTGGTTCAATATATGAGTACACCAGTTACTGCTAATGAAGCTGAAACATTTCTTGCAGTTTTTATTGCATTAGCAGATGCAGAAAAAGATGTATGTGTTAAATTCTATTGACAAGAAAGATTTATTTTTGTTTTATTTTTCTTTAGCTTTATGGTATTGCAAAAGCCATGGAATTTGATCCTGATTATTATTCATCTATTGTTGCTTGTCAACCATTAATTGCAAAGATAAAAGAAAATTTCCAAGCTGTATAATTCCTATCTATTTTTGTTTTATTTTGTGTTTAAAAATGAATCCATATGGACAAAATTCTCTTCTTTTAAACATGAATATAAATTTAAAACTGAACTTCTTTTTTTTTTAAATTTTTATTTCTATAAATAATATATTTATTCAATTAAAAATTGATTATCATAATTCATATTTATTCATATAACATAAGACAAGTAAAAAAATATGTTGACCATCATCATCATTGTTTGAGATTAAGCTAAAATATTAATAGAGAAGGAATTATTACATTTAGCTTTATTAGTATAAAATTCTATTACCATGTTCATCTTTATCTAAATCTCCAAAAATTAAATGAATATCATTTTTAGCATGTTGAACATCTGGCGAAACATCAATAGCATTATGAACAAGATCTTTACCATACATAGCACGGAGACTAATTAATAAAACATTTTGTATTATATAAAATAATTTTATTATCAAACCTATGTGGAGCTGTTTCTGATGCTTTAGCTGGTTCTTCTGGTCCAACAACGTCTTGCCAACTTTTACTAGCATGTTCTTTGACTAGTACTAATAATTCCGATGGACCGCTAGAATATATATATAATAATTTGTTTAAATCAACTAGAAAAATAAATCTAATAACTAACCTAGTCATATAATGTACTAATTCCTCATAATGATCTTTGCCATGATGTGATTTTTCTAGTTGTGCTACTTGTTCCGGTGTTAATTTTTCAGTTTTTCGTGCCATAACAAAGAAATGAGCTTTTCGGAATGCTTCTACGATTTCCGCTAGAAATAAGAAATAATTATATATTTTAATTTGAACATATGGATATATTCAAATTGATTCTTTACTTTTTTGTTGATCGGTAAGATTAGGTTTAAGTATAACCAATATACGTTCTTCTGGAAAGAAGAACTGTAAATTACGATTAGCTTCAGCTTGTGTACGTGCTCCATGTAAAGAATTAATTTTTGCATCGACAATATCAAATTCATTTCGAAGACTTGAATGAAAAAGTATGACTTAGTATAAATATGGTTTTTATAATCATAACTTACGTTCCAGCTGCTTCTTTGATACGATTTTTTTCAGTTGGACCAAGTAAAGTACGAAAAGCTTGAACACCATCTTTCTTAGTTATGTATAATGCTGTAGATGGTCCACTAGAAACCAAAAAAAAGAGTTCTATAGAAATATTTTTTAATGATATTTCCCATACCTTGTCATTTCATGCATAAGATCATGAAAATAGGGTTCATTTTTCTTGTCACTATAAAATTGTTCTGCTTGTGCTTGTGTTAAATGAACTTCTGCTGTACGAGTAACTTCAAAACCACTATCATGAATTTTTTTAATGATCGCATCTAATGAATGAAAACTTTAAGAATTATTCATTTTTTAAAAATAATTTTAAACCTTTATGTAATTTAAAAGCGCTTGGTCGAATGATGGCTAATGTTCTTTCAATTTGTTTTTCACGTCCTGATTGTGGTTTTTGAACAATACCTGGTAAAAGTAACATTAGATCTCTGTAAAAGAAACGAAATAAGATGATACAATCAACGATATATAGTATTCTACTGACTGTTGAACATGATCTGGTGATTGTGTACAATCAACATTTTCTTTCCATGCTTCTTCCGAATGAACTAATTCACGGAATTGCTCAACACTTGATTCTTTAGCATCTGTTTTTTGAAGTAAAAGAACAACTGATGGGCCATTTGTCATATGTACTATTTGTTCTTCATAACCTGCCTAAAAATACATAAAGAATTTGATTTTTTTCGAAATTTGAATAAAATTATTATTTTCAAACTTCATTCATTTTTTGACGATGAAATTGACGTGCATCATGTTCAGTAAGTTGATGTTCTTGTTGTAGTAAAACTCGAAAACCATGGTGTTTAATCTATATTGTAAATTTATTCAATAAAAAAAAACTGTTTCTAAGAAATATATATGACTTACTTTATCAACAATTTCATTTGTTTTACCATTTGCATAAGCATCTGGACGAATAACTGCCAAAGTATATTGATGACTTGCTAGAAAAATAAGATAATTGTATTTAAAAGTTTGTTTATTCTTCTAAATAGAAGAAAAATTTATTTACCAACAGCATTAACAATAGATGGACTACGTTTACGATTTGCTCCAGCTTCAATTTCATCCTCTTCATCTTCTTCTTCTGGAGCAAGTTCCATACGATGCTAGGATAGATATAAATATTGGATTACAAAAAAAACAAAGTTAATTGTTACAAATTACTTCCGTACGTTGACCACCTTCCTTTAAAATTTTCTTTTCATGTTCTAAACCTCCTATAATTTTTCGTTGTAATTCAGGTGCATTCGCTCCTATACATGAATCAACTAAAACACCGCTCTATAAATATAAATCAATAGTTTATGAAGAAAATTCGATTTAATTCTACCGCATAAAATAGAAAACATGGTTCACATCGTCCACGAAATTTTTCAAGTGAATCAATTGTATCCGCTTTAGCCTAGAAGGAATCGAAATAATTTTGAATCTTTTTTTTTCTATATGAAATTAATATAATTCTAGCGTGTTAGATTAGTTTTTTTGTTAAGAACAAAGCGTGTAGATTTCTATTGACTCACAACAACAAAAGCCAAAAGCGGATCGCCCAGCGTATTTTTAATCGCTCGAAATTTTGCTTCCAATGCTTTACAAGGACCTCCATATGATTGATAAACATCAACAACTAAAATAAATAAAAGTGCAAATAACTTCTATATATAGAGTGCATTCTAAATAAATATCTAACGACATATATATGAGCGTAAATATAACAACAAATTGTGGATATAGGTACGTTACAAAAAAACAATTATTACAATCGCAAATCTTAATAATGGCTCGCAAAGTTCAGTTTTCATTGTCTTGAAATATCCCTCTGCACTTCTACATGGACCTGCCCAATGTTGATAAATATCAATGACTGAGAAAGATAAATGCAAAATTTTTGTTGTGAAAAGAAAAAATATAATCATGAAACGATAAATATTCTCTTATCAATCACCTGTAAGACCTTCTTTATTAATTGCATCATTCCATTCTTCTTGAGTTTCAAGTTCAGCTTGTAAAGCAATTTCTTGACGACGACGAGCCATTTTTTTACAATCTATATATTAAAAACAAATGAAACAAATAAAACATGCTCGCCATGATTGAGTTTTTACATATGAGAATACCATGGTAATCGATAATAATAGAGGTTACACATAAGTGTTGAAAGACAAATGTATTTACTTTATACACAGTTACGACATCTGTGTACTTAGTTATGAAAAAACTAATATATCATGTATGTTCATGTCTTGTATATTGTTCTTTAAATAATTTCTATAAACGCTCTATGATCAATTAGGCAATCCATATGTGAAAAATATTATTACTTATTTTGAATGCAATTCAATAAGCTCTCATTTTATTAGGTACAAGCATGAAAATAACTAAACTACAGATAATAATTATAAAGCGAAAGAGAGTTTTAGACAGCTTGATAGATAATACGTTGCCAATTCGATGCATTATGAAGATTTTTTATGTCTCCACATCTATCGCCACCTCCACGATTGATACTAGAACGAAGTGACCAACATAATCGATATTCACCATATTGATCACTGGTATCACAAGGATTCAAATTGAACGCATTTTGTGGCATGCCATTATGCATGGAGTAATGATCATTAGACGAATAGTCGAAATCCTACAATATATGAGACCGCATTTTGCATGTAGAAACGTAGCCTGTTTTAAGTTTAAGATTATTTTCAGTATTTTTTTCATTGAATAAATTTTTAATTATTTATCAAAGACGATATTACTCATGGAATGTTTTATCTCTTTTAGAATTATAATTTATATTTTTTAAATATAAAACATCAATTTTACTTCGTTCGAAATCGGGGAGAAAATCTTATTTTATTTTCTTTACTTTTAATGTCAATTTTATCTTTCTTACTTCAGTACGCCCTTCGAATCCCCAGGCTTGATCATTCACATAGTAGAAACCTGTACCATTATTTATGTCAGTCGTACAATAATTGTTTTGAGTACATTGCCGTAAGATAGTTGTACTACCACCTACACCAGCTAACGTTAAAGTTGCCTTGTTATTAGTAGGAGTACATGCGACTAGAAATCTTGAACTTTTACAATTCTTTAAAAATTTCATTATATCGAACGGTATATGATATGTACTTCGATAACATTCCTGCCATCCAATTAAAGAGCTTATATTCAAGTTTAGATGAGCACCAGTGAGAGGAGACAAAAATTGTTCAGCTACAAAGAAATAAATTGTGTAAACAATTAGTATTCAATAAAATTTAGAATTATTTGTTTATAAGTCAAGCCTACTTACGACTTAGTCCAAGATCAGAAACCATAAGTGAAAAGTTTAATCGTGTATCAATATTTGGTGCTTCAATAAGAATATCATAGACAGATATTTGTGGTTTACGCTTAATTGCTCGCAATTGATCAAGCAAATACTTAAACTGATCGGGATTATAATCGAAAAATATTACACCTTGATTATCTCGTGATTTATGTGCATTTGTATTATTCTTCATAAACATCAATGCTAATTTCGATTTAGGTACAGCAGTTAGAGTTGAGCGTGATGTTGTTATTCTTTGACCACCAACGTTTAGTTCAATCACATCATCTTCTACTGGTTTAAACTTTTCAATTTTTGAGTCTATTGATTCTGATTCTTCAGTTTTTGTGTCAATTACAGTCGAATATTCATTAACATCAGTGCTATTAGAAATATTATTAAATTCAGTTGTCATCAGCTGCTCATGATTTTCATAGTCATCGATCGAATATATATGGGCACCTGCTATTTGAGTTGTTATTCGTTGATTAAACAACACAAAATAAAGAGTCTAGACATAAGAAAATAATCATAAAATAACTGTTTTAATAGTATACCTACAAATAAAGTAGAAAATATAATCGACAATTTATCCATAATATATACGTATAAAGAATGGAGTCGTACAACGTAGCTCTATTGTATATTAGTTTTTAAGATTAACGATTTTTGTTATATATATATATATATATATATATATATAAGTTATAGTGCAAAGATTATTTGTCAGCACTTTAAAAAAATAATATAAATTAAGATATATGGAGTGATGAAAGTATGGGGTAAAAATCATCTTATGTCTTATAATATTTTTGATAATAGTGTCTGGCGAACTGTCTAAGTCAAACAGATATTATTTATCTAAATATTAGAATTAATGACATATACAGATATAAGTCTTCCAAAGTAACGTTAGTTGAAAAAACAATTAATATAATGAATTTTCTTTGAAAGATCGTACAGAATGTTTGAGTTAGTTTAATTTTTGTATCACGTTATATACTCATTCGATCAATAAATTAGCAAATTCATATTTTATACTTTTTTTGCTAGTCGTTGTATACGATATTCAGATAAATCCAGTTTGGAAAAGATTCCAACATTCTTATTTTTAACAAAGCAGTAATCGTGTTGAAGAAATGTAAAACATTGAATTTGAAGTTCTCAATCTTTACAAAATTTTTTCAACGATCAATTCTCATGACAAATCTCATATTTAAAAAGCAGGAAAATAAATTTCAAATAGTAACTAGCTTGATTAATCACTATTAATCAGAAATACGGAATTAAGACAAACATATATTTATCATTCATCACTATTCTTTCGTTTACTTCATATTTGAATAAAGTGTTTCATGGTTATTTTCATCTACATTTAAATCTACAGGATAGAATATGAAATTTATGATAGCAAAATACGATAACTTGTTTTTCTATTTCATAGTCTAAGGATGATTGTAAACAATACATTGATAAAATGATATATTGTTAAATGCTGATCAGGATTGAAATCTTGACTTTAACCATTTGAATCCATTATATACAATAGATGGACGTTTCATTTCTTCCTTTGACGTTAAATATGCTGCACGACATGCAGTTTCAATACGTGCTAATGAATACAATATTGGATACAAATTATTCCTATTTCGATATTCATCTTGTTTCATAGAACTGAAATAAGAATACAATGGTCGTATAAGATCTTCATCAATAATAATTTCTCCACATCGATATAAATTTGCATGATATCGAATTAGATTAATACCCGCACATTGAAGTCTCTCGAATAGATTAAATAAAATTAACAGAAATACAATAACAACATCAATAAACATCTCTATTTCGCTTTTTTCGAGCGCCAACAATGATTGTCAAACTCTTTAATGACATTCAATCAAACCGTCATCCATAACAAAAAATTTATTTATTTAAATTAAAAGAAAACATAGATAATTTCAAACTCATCCGCACTTAATGATCGCCAACAAGTGAACTATGCATATTGTTGATTGTTTCTGAGAGTGATCCAAGAACCATCTTGAGGGTGGGTATGGGGTGTGGATACTGACGAAGAATCATTTTAACACGCCCAGAACCCACGTGAAGATGCCTTCAAACAGAACGAGAAAGAACAAAAGCATCAGGCGTCTTATCTGTTACCATCGTGCGAACTACCATTTAGTAATCAGGGACTGTGAGAATACAGAAAAAAAATCTTTCTAAAAAATTTTCGTCAGATAGTCAATTTTGTAGCGATTATCAACAAGACAGTTTTTCGTAAAAGTTCAATAAAAAAAGTTTGACAGCATCGAACAAGCTCATATGAACGCCGATTGAAAGAGAAGTAACCAAACTACCTAAAACCTAAAGAAAAAAAGAAAAAACTTTTCAACTTTTATTGAAAAACAGGGGAGGTACTCTTAAGGATTCATGTTTACGTTTAATCGTCTTTAGCTGCCGTAAGTTTTTTCTTTCTACCACATTATTCATTTTTGTTGTTTTTTCTTTCTTCTGTTTTATGTGTCAAAGCGTACACTTTTATACAATTGACCGACAGTTACACGCGGACATATGCGCACGCGAATTGAGAAAACGATGATAAAATATATTTTTCTTAAATTTTATTTGAATTCTGAACGGGTGGAAATTTATGCTTAGCTGCTGATAAAAAAATTGTTCTTAGTTTCAAAAAATATATTGATATAAATTATTAACAGAGATAAATAGTATTTATTTACAATAAACAAACAAATACGCTAAGTGAACAATAATTGAAAATAAAGAATGCACTCGTTCAAAAATTAAACACTAATCTGGCTATTTTAAAATAGTCGTTCCTAGAAACAGTATGAAATTCTTCGACTATGTTTCGTATTCGAAGATCAATTTTTTCATATTTTGTGCGTTGGTCTTTGCCTTTGACTGATTTTATAAGAGACATTTATATCTTAGAAATTATTAAAATAATACGCACATATATATATATATATACTTTTTCTTTATATTTTTATCTGTTTTATTTTGTTTAGTTTTAATCTCATTCTGATGCAAAAAGCAAGTTTGATATTAAAATTAGATAATCTTTTGATTCTCATTAATATCTTCTATGTATTTTCTTAATAAACCAATCTCACTAACAGAACATTTTTATTTCTATTAATACATATGATTAATACATATGAGTAATTCAATCAGACGAGAACAGAACAAAAAGATCTGTTTTTGCGCGCAAGCATCGTGCGCGTATATCTCCGCGCGTAACTGTCGGCCAATCATGCATGACAACCATGCATGAGCGAAATCGATGATTATGACTACCTTTCCTTATATTTTGTAGAAACATTACTTACAACAAACGATAAAAAACATCGATCCTATCAAGACACTTGATCTGCGTATTGTTTTCGTTTGAATGCAGCACGAGACGGTAATCGCCACTGAGTGTGGTATAAAACAAACAAAGTTTATTGATCCTAATATCCATAACGATATACAGAGTGTGCCCGTATGTCATCGATCGTTTAACATCGACACAATACACTCGGGTTTAGCCTATGTAGCACGTCCTGGTGATATATTTATCGTAACGATGCCGAGATCAGGTACCACTTGGATGGAAGCGATCGTATACAGTACGCTTCAAAAAGGTCGCGCCTTTGATGATGACTTCGACGACTTCTTAGCGCGCACTCCTTTTCTGGAGCAACATGGTAGTCAAGGTATTGAGACAATGCGTCAACCGGGTTCCATCAAAACACATTTGCCTCTCAATATCATTCCTCAACATCCGCAGGCTAAATATATTTATGTTGTACGCAATCCTAAGGATATGTGCACCTCTTTCTATCGATTCGTTAGAACAATACCTGGTGTGGCACACAGCGATGATCCGTTCGATACTTATTTCGACTTGTTTCTCGGTGGTCAAGTGACTTATGGAGATTATTTTGATCATTTATTGCAAGCTTGGTCACGCAAGAATGAACCTAATATTCTTTTCGTTGTATACGAAGATATAAAGAAAGATATTCGATCGGTGATTCGTCGCGTGGCTACTTTTCTGGACGTCGAACTGAGCGACGAGTTAATTGAACGCATTGCTTTAGTCACGAGTTTTGATTATATGAAAAATGCTAAATATAACGAACGTCTTAGTGAGAAAAATCATGGACACATCCTTCAACCGCGCGCGGTTGTACGTAAAGGTGAAATTGGCGATTGGCGTACACTCATGTCGGAGGAACAAAGTCGTCGCTTGGACGCGCGCTTTAAAGAGGCTACTCATGGTAATCAAGAACTCAGCACACTCTGGGATGAATATAACATATTTGAAGACAAATGACATTAAAACATTTCTTTTTATTCTCAAATAAGAATTTATCAATACTCTTTTCCATTTTTTTCTTTATATCTTCCAGAACATATTTTTTGTTACTTCAAATAAATTATTCACTTGGACGGTGGTTTATGGAATATCGGTAATCTCTATTTTGACTATGCCTTGAATTATAGTCTCGCAAGGGAACATACCTGGGGACGTTCTCTTATAGGATAGAGTTCACAAATAAATATCGATAGTTCCAGTTATAACAACTTCTTTGTATAAATACATGAAAACATCATCGACTAACGACGTCAGTAGAAATGAAAATTAATCTTATGGCATTAAATATAGAACTCAACCGTGGTTTTTTATCTTCTTATGAATTAATAAGAACAAATTATATATAATCATACGTTCTTTTGATTAGAAAAGGAAAAATACACATCAGATAGTCATGAACAATTTCAATGTAAACAATACTTATAGACAAAAGAAGGCTAATTATCTCTTTTCTGAACATTATAATACATCAATACAATCAAAACAATATTTTTTTTATAGTTATTACTGATTACAAACTATTCTATCAACATTCTTTTGTACTTTTATTTTAAATAAAAATCGTAATTCATCTATAAATATATATGTTAATAAATACAATCAAGCAAATAACTAAACTAGATGAAAATTGAAGTTTCTATAGTATCTAATAGAAAGAAAAAAGATTTAAGCAATATAATAAACAAGACGTTCATATTTATTTGAATTTTGTAAATTTTTTGTACTGCCACATCGATCACCAGTACCTTTTTTAATATCTGATTGTTTTGTCCAACAAAGTCGATAATCAGAATCTAAATCACTTGGATCACATGGATCAATTACAAACGATAAAGATCCACGTACAAAACCCCATGTTTGATTATTTGCATTATACCATCCGACACCACGTTTACCTTGTGTAATACATTGATAACTTGATGAACATGTTAATTTCTTATTTTTCTTTTTTGATTTACCATTTGTTTTACATTGTTTTGGTAAACATGGATGTACAACATCTTCATATTGTCCAATACCAGCAAGAGTCAAGACGTTTTTATTATTAATATTACGGCAACCAACAAGTAATCGACTACCATTACAAGATTTTTTTATTACAGAAAAATCAAATGGAATATTATATGTACTACGATAACATTCTTTCCAACCAGCAAGAGAATTTACAGTTAAATTAATATGTGTACCTTCCGTTGGTGATAAGAAATAATTCTCTAGAAAAAAAAAATAAATAAATTCTATTAGTAATCTGACTATAGAATAATAAAATCATTGAACGATATCTTGCCTTTCATAGTATTAGTCTGACTATGACAGTTATTAGATTGAGAAATGGCTTGAAAATTCATTATCTTTAGTATTATGATTAAGGTAAAGAAAATTTTATATTTAACTTACGTGTTAATCCAAGATCAACAAGCATATGAGTAAAATTCATTGGTGAATTCATATACGGTGCTTGAAATTGTATTTGATATCCTGGTTTTTTTGGCATACGTTTAAATGCTCTCAATTGATCAAGTAAAAAATTAAAATACATTGGATTATAATCAAAAAATACTGCACCACTTTTATCCATAGGTAAATTCTTCTTCTTAGTATTATCTTTATTAAACATCTGAGCTAGTTTTGAATTTGGTATAACTGTAAGTGTTGAACGTAATGTTGTTATTTTTTGACCACCAATATTCAATTCAACAACATCATCGAATAATGAAATTGATTTATCCGTTTCTTCATGGGCAACATCTATTACTTCAGCAATTGTTGTATCTTCATGAATTGTGACATTCTCAATAAATGTTTCATTCTGTATATCATTTGTATTAATAACAGCTGGTTGAATAAATATTTGATGATTAAAATGAACAATCGAAAGAATACATACAAGTAATGTTGAAAACATCATTTGATTGAATATTACTACTTATGAATACAATATCATAGTTAAACAGATATATTTCTTTATATTTATCGACTGTTTTCCTTTTCTAGAATTGTATCTAGATAAAAGAATGGTACATTTTCATGCTAAGACAAATGTATAAATAAGAGAATATCATAAGAAAATGCATTTGTCTCTCTCTCTTCTCTTCTTTAATAATAACAATGTTCTATTTATTTATGTTTATATTTTATATTACAATAGACCTTGATTAACTTCTTAGAAAGATGAAAAAGTGTCACATATGTCTGATAATTATTCTATCTAATACGATGTCCTTGTATAATAACCTTTCTTTTAGTGCATTCGAAATATAATGAAGCTTCAAGATATCAAATGTTTTGATTAGAATTAATCAATTATAACAATCATTTCAAATCTATTAGATAAAAGCAGGAATCTTGTTTATATTTATCCTTGTATTCATCAGATATAAATGTATAGTTATCATGAGTATTCAAATACTTTTTGTTTATTTATAACTATTGTGCATCATTGATTGTCACAATTTTACTTGATAGGACATATGCTGGACATATGTATAAATTTTCTTTCGAGTAATGTTCTTATTCAATAAGGTCAATGGTTTTTCTGAACTTTCTAGTGTATATGCAATATACCTATGAGGCATGATTTTTATTGAGAATAGAAACAAATGATGAGAATTTTACACAATGAACTACCTATGATTTAAAGAGAGATTAACAAGATGGAAACGATTTATACATGGATGTTGATATTGATATGTGTAAGTAATCAGAAAGATCTTGTAGAATTATACTTGAAGCATATTATACATCTACAACATGTTAAGAAAGAGATGATAGATATTTAACTATCGACTAGATTGATGGATTGTTGTTATTATTTGTATATATATATATATATAACCAAATCAAGGTTATTCCATCTGGCTCATCATTAAATCTATCTACCTCTTCATTTTTTTTTCTAATGGAATCAACGACAAATGTTGAAGAAAATGACAGATTAACTTAGCTAAAGCTGATACTTTGTAAGAGAAACTTCTCAAGAAGAAAATTAACATAGAAGTAGTATTGTTATGTTTACTCTTGTTAATTGGAACGATAACAAAGATCATATCACATCGTCTTTTTCTTTTATACTAAATTGATAAAAGATAGTACTCATTTTCTACAACATGAAATAGTTTTTTTCTATTTCAATATTCTCATGACATTAACTTAAAAAATAGTTTTCGAGTGTATCTATTAGACAATACACAATCTATATAGTTCTGTAATACTACTGATTAAATATAATGTAAAGTATGTATAATGTACCATTATTATGAATAGTTTATTAATGTATAAAAAGCAAGGTTACAAGCTTTTACGCTTAATTTACTTCTAAGTGGAAGTATAATGGAATGTCGAATATTGATTACTATAAGTGTATGACGAATATTTTTATAAATATAAATTATAAAAAAATACATGAAAAAGTGCATGAAAACAATTGGGTTCACAGACTTATGTCAAGTAAAAATAAAGTACGTGTCAATATACGCAATGGGTTTATTTTCTTAAATTGGATAATCTTTATTATACTGTTGTCGTCGTAAATTTCGTCGAAGAAAAAATCTTGGAAGAGACCATGGTAAACTTTCTTGTGTTTTCAAACTATTAACAGTTGTTCTCCATTTTTCAATTATTTGTTGATCAATGAGTGATTGACTTCGCCGACGTATGTGACCGTTGAATGATGGTTTTAAAGTTGAATGAAAAGAATCAGCATGAGATAAAGACTGAATTCTTTCGTGATCATTGATTGTTGCTAATTGTCGTTGAATATTATGTATACGAAGAGTGTCAGCATGTATAATTCGATCATGCATACCTTTTGACGTACCCCAATATATATTCCATAATTTAGCTCGTTTTTCTTTATCAACTAATTCTTCTAAAAAAAATATTTTTATTGATTTTATTTATAAAATACATTTCCTACCTAATATCTTTTTACTATTTGTCTTTTCATGAGAATTTTGACTATATAATTGAGTTGAATATTTAAATGAATTTTCAACAACGTCAGTAGGTGCTAGCAATTGCATTCCCAGTAAACAGACAGTACCTAATGAATACCATGAAAGAACAACAATAATATATATAATAGCACCTACAGTATCATCAACATCTTTTGTTACTAACTCAACATTTTTCTGTAATAATAGTACAGTAGTATTATTCATGAGTATCTTATTATTAGTGACTTGAAATAATATGATATAATGAATAAACTGAAGTTATGAAAAAAGTGAAAACATTATATTTTCTACGATAATAAGTATTAGCTAAGACATGCAATGATGCATACAAAATATGCAGTAATATCTGCGTATTTATTATTCAGGACAGTTATTTATATATATATATGTAAATTAAGAATAGTCAATATTATTGATATATTGCTATTTCTGTAGTTCAATACGTACAAAACAAAACATTGCAAAAACTCTCGTGACTTATTTATTGATCTAAATTCCAAATTCGTTTTCATTCTTATTCAACATGTAACTTTCTGATGATTGTATTATATCAAAAAAATTGATTGAATAAAAAATCATTTGTGTTTTTCTTTTCATTTCAAACAAAGCACATCAATATTGATCAATGATCAAAAAAAAAA